TATTCGGATTGTCCTGCACAGTGGCAGATATGTAAATACGGGGTTTCCGTACCATTTCTTGCGCAATACGGTTCGAACACTCGAACACCTATACGGATTCTCCTGCACAGTGGAAGATATGTAAATACGGGGTTGACATACCATTTCTTGCGCATTACGGTTCGAACACCCGAACACCTATACATACCAATTCTTGCGCATTACGGTTCGAACACTCGGACACCTATACGGATTCTCCTGCACAGTGGCAGATATTTCAACCCCCAAGTCCATAGGGGCATTATTGGTCCAAGATGTAGATGGAGTAGAACGCCCGGTGTATTACATCAGTCGGAAGATTCGAGGAGCAGAAGTCCGATATACTCCAGTAGAGAGACATTGTTTAGCTTTGGTATTCACTGCCCAAAAGCTCAGACATTACTTCCTAGCACATCAGATTCAGATTGTTACTAGAAGTGATCCAATCCGATACCTCCTCAGCAAGCCTGCTCTAACCGGGAAGGTGGCAAGATGGTTGTTAGCACTGGGTGAATTCAATAGCACATGTGTAGTCCCCAAGGCGATCAAAAGCCAAGCCTTAGCTGATCTCCTTGCCCAATTTCCAAGTGGTGACTATGAACCAGTGAATGAAGAATTAAGAGGAGAGGTGCACGCAGCTATGGCTTCCGAGGAAAGCTTCTGGACATTGAGCTTTGACGGAGCAGCAACCGGAGGTAAAGGAGGAACCGGGATAGTCCTTGAAGGAGCCTGCCTTGGCCACATATCGAACAACAGTCCAAAGGCTTCTTGACAAATCTCAGAAGGTCGAAATAGAGCATGTGCCTCGCTCCGACAACAAGTTTTCAGATGCCGTCGCAACATTAGGGGCAAGAGTTGACATTCTAGAGGAAGAGGCAACAATTGTTATCAAGAAGAGAACAGAACCTTCAATAATACCCGAAGACAAAGACCTTCCGGAGGATTGGAGAGGAGAAGGTGAACTTTACTTCCGAGGAGGTACCGGGTTCCTAGCCCGGTGTGTTGGCCAACAAGAAGTAAGTTTCCGACTACAACAGATCCATGAAAAGTCTTGCGGGGATGAGGATATCAGTCTGTACAGAAAGATACAAAGACATGGCTATGAGGGTGCATGATGGCCACAACCCGAGCAGCTGGTGAAAGCTTTCCAAATGATCTTGCAACTCTAGGGGCAAATTTCAACATTCCGTGGAAGAAGTTTATCTATGACATTTACAGTTTGCATTTACTACATTGTCCAAGAAGTTCTATCTTTCTTATGTTATGAAGAAATTTATTTCCTCCATATTATGTATCTCCATTAGAAGTTATTTTCTCTACATTGTATATCTTCATTGTGTTATGTTGCTGGAAACAGTTTTCAATTTTTTGTTGCCCCCTCAAAAAAAGAAAAATGAATGGTAGACTCAGTTACCAACCTGAAGGGAGTTTTCTTGACACGGTAGAAGTATACTTCCACTCGGACCTCCGAAGAGCAGCCATGGCTTCCATCAATGCAAGCTTTGAGGGTCTTTCTTGCTGAAGTAGAGTGTGTGCTCCCACTCGGACTTCCGAAGAATATCCCTTACTTCTGTCAGTTCAAGCTTTAAGGATCTTTCTTGTTGAAGTAGAGTGTGTTCTCCGCCTCGGACTTTCGAAGAACAGATCTTGCTTCCATCAGTGCGAGCTTCGAGGGATAGCCTTTGCTTCTATTAGCTGCCGAAGTAGAAGTGCGCATCCACTCGGACTTCCGAGAGACAGCCTTGTTTCTGCTCGGACTTCTGAGGGAGAGCCTTCCGAGGGACAACTCTTGCCCCCATTAGTGCGGGTCTGAAGAACAGCCCTTGATTTCATCAATACGAGCTCCGAGGATCTTTCTTTTCAAAGTAGAGTGGACTCTTACTCGAACTCCCGAGAGATAGCCTTTGCTTCCATTAGCTGCCAAAGTAGAAGTGCACATCCACTTGGACTTCCGAGGGAGAGCCTTGTTTCTGCTCGGACTTTTGAGGGAGAGCCTTGTTTCTGCTCGAACTTCAGAGGGACAGCCTTGCTTCTGCTCGGACTTCTGGGAGACAATCTTTATTTCTGTTGGTGCAAGCTTGGTAGACTCGGTTATCTTCCAGAGGAATCTTTCTTGCCAAAGTAGGGTGTGTGCTACCTTCGGACTCCCGAGGGACAGTCTTGCTTCTGTTCAGACTTCCGAGGAACAGCCCTTGCTCTCATTAGTTCGGGTTCCAAGGGCCCCGAGGTCGTGGATTTCAATCAAGAATTCATTTACCTGAAATAGCAAAGCCAACAAATGAGACAAATCCCATATATATTTTTGCAAGCCCAAGTTCATGAACAAAAAAAAATATATATATATATATATTCAAGAATGGGTTTCGGCAATCTGAAATAGCAACACAAAGAGGATGGGCCGATGACCAATGCCGCGTTGAGAGGGCGGCATGGTTGGCATTGGCTAGATCACAATTGAAGACGGTAGGTCGGCGGTGGCACGAGCTGTGCAGTGCTAGGCAAGACCACACACGTCGCGTTGAGTGGGCGGACGTGTGTGGTCAATGTCGGACAATCCGAAGCCGGAGGCAGCAGTGATGACGTAGCGGAGTTGGCATCGACGTTGTGCAACAAGACTGAGCTAGGTTGGGCAAGACCACACACGTTGCGTTGAGAGGGCGAACGTGCGTGGTTGACGCCGGATAAGCTGAAGCCGGAAGCAATGATGGTGCCACAGAAGAGTCGGCAACCACACACGTCACGTTGAGTGGGGCGATATGTGTGGTCAGCGTTGGACCGTCGAAGCCAGAAGCAAACCAGCAGAGAGAGGCCAGCGGTGGGTATTGTCTTCACTAGTTCAAGATTGTTTGCAAGCCTCAAGACTGAAATAAATCATCACCAGAATTCCCAAATTAGAAAATGTATCAGTACATATTTATTTTGAGCACAAAAGCCCAAATCAAATTTCAAGCATACACTCACAAATCCAAAGCAATGAAGAGAATGAACTTTGTTAAATCAAGACCAAAACCCATCAAAATGAGGGGTTCAAAAATGGGTTTTCAACAAGTGCTTAACTCACAGATTTAGGGGCAGCATAGTGAGGAGCCAGGTTATCAATCACAAGCGGTGTAGGCCGAGAATGGCGCACGAAGCAGTAGATGAGGAAGGAAGCTAGGCAAACCGACGCCGCGTTGAGTGGGCGGCATGTGTGGTCGGTGCTGGGTAGTTAAGGACAGTAGCAGCGTCGCAGTGGGATCGGCGTAGACACTTACAGCAGAACAGAGCTACGGTGTGCCTGGATCTTTGAGGGACTGCATCATTAAATTGAAGGGAAGCACTGCTGGTGATAGCGCGAGCTGGTGGCGCTTTGGGTCGCAGCGTCAGTGGCCATCTTCGGTGGTTGTGGGAGCAAAAACCGAGCTCCCGTGTGTTTGTATCTCCACCGACAATGAGATAGAGCTGGTGACATCTAAACTAGCAGCAGCACCGATGGAATGCTTGACGACGTTGGTGAGGCCTGTGTTGTAACGGAGCCGCGGCAAGGAGTTGTGATGGTCTCGGTGCCTGGAGCTGCAGCAAATAGATTTGCGAAGACGGCGTCCGTGGAAACCTGAGAATGGGTTTGACAAAAAAAAAAAAGGATAAGGACAAAATTTGTTTGAAAAAAAAAAAAGAAGAAAAGAAATATTCCATGGTCCCTCAAATGTGCAAGGCATGGGTCTTCGGCTGTTTTGTTGAAAAAGGAGAGCACGGCAATGGCCTCTGTATTGTAGCAGCGGACCTTCTTTAAAGAAGATGAAATCTGGGTCTTCAATATTTTAGTGAGAAAGATTGTGCCACTGGTTTCAAAAGACCAAAAAAAAAAAAAAAAAAATTCATTAGTGAGCAAACCCGAAGCAGAACAGCTCGAAGAAGAAGAAGGAAAGCTGCTTGAAGAAGAAATGAAGAAGCTTGGTCTCTGTTTTAGAGAGAGAGGGACGGCTGAGAAAGGAAATGTATTGTTTAGGGAGCTTGGCGGCTGGAGGCAAAAAGGAAAGGAAATGTATTGTTTAGGGTTCTTGTCATTATCTTTACAAATAGGCAAAAAGAAAAACATATTCTCTTAAATATACTTTCAAATATTCCATACATACATATATATATATATATATATATATAATAAGGGAAGATGGTTTTTGAAAATGTACTAGAGACAATTGTCCTACTAAGACATTTTAATGGTCATGATTCATTTGTGTATTTAGATGGATGACTGAAATGACTATAGATCAATCCTAAATATATATCTACATTTACTTCTCGCCCAAACAATAAGTTCCTTACTTACCCACGTCTCCCTTCCCCCCTCAGTCTATCTTTATCTCTCTGCCTTCCCTGTTTACACATACCCCATTCCTTGTTTATCTCTCTCTCTCTACACATCTCATTCTTGGTCCCGTCCCTGCCCCGCCACCGCCAGGTTCAATAGATTCAAAGCCACAAGAATAGAGGTATATAGCTGTAGCAAAGAAGCAGTTCATCAGATGAACAATTCATCATCGTCCGTATATTCCTCTCTCTTTCTCTCTCTCTATATATATATATATGAAATGGGTCTCTGCCATTATTGCAGGAGAGTTGTGAGTATAAACTTCTTCTTTCCGGGTTGAGATTCCCTGTTCTCCTCTGTCTCTGTCTCTCTCTCATTTGCTCCACTCCTCCTTTTGTTTTACGTTCAGTCTTTTGCCATCGATCTGCTCTTCTAATTTTTGAACACAAATCAACCACAAAAAAATCATAAAACTAGATGGAGACCCAATCTTCCAACTAAAGACCCAGATTAAGGCCTCGTTTGGGAACAGACTATTTTAGTAATTTTTTGGTTTTTTACGAAAAGATGTGCAGAAAAGTAGAGAGGTGATGTGACAACTTTTAGTAATTTTTTGGCTTTTTAGCTAAAATAGCCACTCCTAAACAAGGCCTAAAACTAGATGGCTCAACCTCATGTAGATTCAGGGGAA